TGCTATGGTATGGTGTGGATAACCTTTGATTTTCTTCATCTTATTTGAGACTTGTCTGAATTATATTTGAAGGCTGGTAAGCATTGTAATAATTTTGTTGTAACTAAGTAAAATGGTGTGTGTTTGTGAAGACAGAGAGGAGAAGGAAGAGTTCCACTAGAGGATGGGGTGGTCTTTGGATAATTAAGCCAGTGGTCACTTAGGAATTAAATTTACTGAGGGAATACTCACTTAGGGTTTGTACTGTTATCTTTGCACATAGAGTCTTAGGGATTTCCTCTGTCTCTACTGAGATGTAATACCAGTAGTAAGGTACTTTGCTTTTTCTTGGCTTTCATCATTGATCTGGTACTCTTCCCTGCCATTTATTTACCCCCAAATTTGTAAGCACTGTCACCTTACTTTTCTCAATATTGCTTTTAGAAAATTGAAAAAGGAGTTAAATATGATATCAAACCACTTAGGAGTCTGCTGTGCCATTTTCTGTTTAAAAATTTCCTAATTCTGTTTAACTGCTGTTACTGAACTTTGAGGGCTACTTTTACTTATTTTTCTTGGGGATAAATGTTTTTCTTGGGATAAAATATTTATCTAAACATTTTCTCATGAATTTATAATAAGAGTTAATCTAACACATAATGCCCAAAGGGTTTATTTGTTGAAGACAGAAAATCTTATGTTTTGAGGCAGAGACAAACAAAAATGAGTAACATTTTTTCTAATAAAGATCACAAGTAACTTTTTCTATGTGATTCTTACCAAGTTCTACTTAGAAACTAGCTTTCATGGGCCTTTTAAGAATTCCATAGGTAAAACCAATCAGAGCTTGGTCAAAATTTAGCTATCCCCCAAAGATTGTTGCCTTCAGAAAAAAACAAAAGCTATCAAGAACAACACAATTTTAGGAAAAGGATCCTGGGGTTATTGCTCAATGACTAAATCCGTTTTTACTTAGTAGTTGTTTTAAACTCTCTCTTTTTTTTTTGGTGACAAAGTCTTGAGCTGTTGCCCTGAGTAGAGTGCTGTGGTGTTGTAGCTCACAGCAACCTCTAACTCTTGGGCTCAAGTGATCCTCCTGCTCAATTTTTCTATTTTTTTTTAGTAGAGATGGGGTCTTGCTTTTGCTCAGGCTGGTCTCAAACTCATGAGCTCAAGCTATCCTCCCACCTCAGCCTCCCAGAATTGAACTCTTTATAATAAAGAGTCTGACAATTCAAAAATATACTAATTCTAGATTAAAAAATTAATTGTTTATTCATACAAAAGATAGATCTTGTTTTTTTACAAAAAATGTATCTTAAGCAAGTTTTTGTGTAAATATTTTTAATAAAGAAACAAAGGAAATTCTAACATCTGACTTAACATATTGTAAATAAATGTGGCTAATTTACTTTAGACAATAACGACCTGGAATACTGTCAATGGAATGAGTTTCTCAAACCTGGTGCCTATCACAAGAACTTAAAGACTGTACTCCACAGGGATTTTGACTTATTGGTTATGTATGAATAAACACAGATTCTATAAATGAGACCTTTATTTTAAAGAAATCCAGTAATAAACCCTTAATACAGAAGCAATACTTACCAGTACCGAAATTTTGAACCTAAGGTAAAATAATGTGCAAAAAAATTCTTTTGAGGTGGAAGTGGTCTGTCCAAACGGAAGAATGTGTGATGTTCTACACATGCTTTCCACAAATTTTTACATGCTCTGTAATTCACCATATTAAATCCCAATAATGTTTCTCTAGATTCGTGCTGTAATAAATGACAAAAATGCAGAAAATACCAAGAAAATGTCAGGATCTAAGGCTCCATTTAATTTACTCTTTCTTAAAAAAAACAATATTATCTTTATTGATTTGACGTTTACCTTACTTTGACAGATAAATTATTCTAGCCTTGCAAACACTAATCCCTCTAAGGTGTCTTTTGCTTATCTAATAAAAAGGCAATAAAGTAACTGGAAATTATAAAATATGGACCTCTTTTAGTAATATTATAACTCTGAGAAACTTTTAGTTTAGATTGTACTTAGAAATAAGTTAAAAATTATCTTCATGTTTTCAACATTAGCTGTTACTCTGTTTCAAAATATAATTCCAGGCTCAGTTCCCATAGCTCAGCAGCCAAGGAGCCAGCCATATACACCTGGGCCGGTGGGTTTGAACCCAGCCTGGGACTGCCAAACAACAATGACAACAACAACCAAAAAATAGCCAGATGTTGTGGCGGGAGCCTATAGTCCCAGCTACTTGGGAGGCTGAGGTAAGAGAATCACTTAAGCCCAAAAGTTTGAGGTTGCTGTGAGCTGTGATGCCACAGCACTCTACTGGGGGAGATACAATGAGACTTTGTCTCAGAAAAAGAAAAAATAATAATCCTAGCCCATAAATTAAACATTAAAATATATCATAACTTTAAACAATATTTCTAATTTTATCAAGACATCTAGATGTAAATAAATAAGAATATTCAGCAGCTCTAAACACTATCATAGAATTCAAAATTTTAATAATCAGCATAAACAGAATTATTTCATTTTCCTGAAAAGTTTAATTACTAAATAATTTCATAAAATAAACCAGATACACACCATTGCAAAGCACACATCTATAAGGGTACAGCTCTGTTTTCACACAATGAATGGAAACAACCTCTCAGATCAAGAAATAGATCATTACTATTGTTTCAGAAGTTATTCTTTGTCTCCTCTTTTTACTAGATTACCATCCAAAGGTAATCACTCTCCTGACATTATCCCCCACATACTAGTCTGCTTGTTTTTTGAACTTTACAAGATATACACAAAATCACACATATAACTCTAGGCCTACCTTCTCTTGTTCAACAGTATGTTTCTAATATGTATATATCTGTATAGTTGTGAAGCAGTAATTCACTCATTCTCATAGTATTCAATTGTAATAAATATACCACAGTTTACTTATTAACTTCACTGTTGATAGACATTTGATGTTTCTAGTTTGAGGATATAACAACAATGAACAATGCTGCTATGAATATTCCTGTATGTTATCCGGTATACAAATATGTACATTTTTGTTGCTAAGTCATAAGGTATGTGTGTACAGGCTCAGCTCAATAGATAATGCCCAAGAGTTTTCCAAAATTTTTAAGTTAGACCAAGATATATTCTGTCCAAATAGCAGTGTATATTCCACATACTTACCAACCACTGTTTCATCAGTCTTTTCTCTTAAATTAACAGTTTTCATGTTTTTAAACTATTAAGTACATAGTTTGATTTTTATAATCAATGTACACTTTAAGTGTATCTAACTGAAGTTTCTTGAATGTGGTCTTCTTTAATTACAGCTGAATTAATGTGGCCTTACAACATGAAAAGGTTCCTCACCCCTGATCTAGGGTGACTATGTTTGGCTTCTGCATGGACCTGCCATGTGGGCAGACACAGAAGGCAGGGTCAGTGGTTCTAATCACAGGTGCTGGGTTGGTTGGGCCATCTGCAGTAGGCCTGTAGAACATACCTAGTACCTGAGAAAGCACTGAGAACAGAGATGGGGGCCAATTCACTCTCACTGGGGCAGAGAGGGTGGGCTGCTCCTGTGGCTGGTGCTCAGGTTAAAGCTCTTCCTTTGGCCTACTACTATCACCACCACTTCCTTAGGCTCCTGTTTGGTCTCTAGCTGTCAATTATTCCTTCTTCTTCCAGGGCTGCAGGAAATGGCTGATCTGGTGTTCATTGGAACAGTATCTGATAGTCATCATCAGCTTCTACCCATGCCACACAGGCCCTAGCAGTGATAGCAGGAAGTGTAAGAAGCGGGACCTTTCCAACAGCTCAGAGCCCAGGAACCACTCTGGTTCATCAGTCTTGTTCACTTTACTGTTCTCATGGATATGTAGAGACATTTAGATGCTAATTTGAATCTCCTTGATAACTAGTGAGGTTCATGTTATCATTAATCTTTTCATGTTAAAAGGCCATGTAGATAACTTCATTTGTGAAGTATTTCTTCAAATCACTAGCATATCCTTCTATTGGACTGCATGTAAAACCTAGGATTTCTGTGTGTATAAAATATACATGCTCTGTGCTACTTTACTATCTTAATGATAATGATGGTTTTTGATGAAGATATTTATTAATTTTAATGTAGTCCAAATCATTAATCTTTTAAGGTTTCCTTCAATGTTCTGATAAAAAAATCTTTGTTCATCAATAGGTCTTAAGAGATATTTCCTTTTTTTTTTTTTTTTTGAGGCAGAGTCTCACTATGTCACCCTGGGTAGAGAGTGCCGAGTGTTGTGGCATCACAGCTCACAGCAACCTCAAACTCTTGGGCTTAAGCAATTCTCTTGCCTCAGCCTCCCAAGTAGCTAGGACTACAAATGCCCACCACAATGCCCGGATATTTTTTGTTGCAACTGCCATTGTTGTTTAGCTGTCCTGGGCTATGTTCAAACTTGCCACCCTCAGTGTATGTGGCTGGTGCCATAACCACTGTGCTATGGCTGCTGAGCCCATAGAGATATTTTCACATGTATTAGAATATGATATGCCTAAAACATCATTCTTTCTTTACCAGAAAGCTGATTCTTAATTATGGTTAACAGTTTTGTTTGCATTAATACACACAATTTACATGTTACACCAATACATTACCCCAAATGATAAAAAATGTCTTTTAGTTAGTATAATGCAGTAATGTTTCTCAGTATCAGCATTATCAAATATATATACATTCCTCCTTTCTTGACACTTGGTATACTTTTCAATGAGTTTGCATGTGATTTTGACATTCTATCAACTATATTTGGAAAGTGACAAAAAATTTTTCTCACAATTTGTAAACAAGGGACATAAAATGTGTATTGAGAGGTAAGTATAGTCTGTGAAGTTTGGGTATTTCAAAACAAAAAGATGTTTTAGAGAGAAAACACTAACATAGAAACCTACTGTAGAGTATGTCTACATACTATCCTTTTCCTTCGTTTTTCTTCCTGTACCTAGGTCAAACAGGTATTAGCATGTGCCAACGTCATAACAGGGTTTCAGGGAGCCATATCTTACATAATAGCATGAACATCTAATCATCACACTTATGAACCACAAAATGGTCCCTGTATATCAGCTTTAATCAACTGTTAGCTGGCTTCTGTTGCTATTGTCACTTAGATCAAACACATTTCTAAGTGATACACTACCTCAGAAAATGACTCAGAATTAAAGGATATGCAAATGGTTGGTAAATGAGTATCACCAGGCACATAGTAAGTTCTCAACAAATGTACTTATAACTATTACTGTTATTAACAATATTAGTACTATAATCTTTTTTTTGTTTGTTTATTTGTTTGTTTTGAGACAGAGCCCTCAAGCTGTCACCCTGGGTAGAGTGCCATGGCTTCACCATCACAGCTCACAGCAACCTCCAACTCCTGGGCTTAAGGCATTCTCTTGCCTTAGCCTCCCAAGTAGCTGGGACTACAGAAGCCTGCCACAATGCCTGGCTATTGTTTTTGGTTGCAGTTGTCATTGTTGTTTGGCAGGCACAGGCTGGATTCCAACCTGCCAGCTCTGGTATATGTGGCTGGTGCCTTAGCTGCTTAAGCTACAGGTGCTGAGCCATTAGTATTATAATGATTTTATCAGTTTCATCAAATTAAATTAAACTTATCCTTTGATTTACAACTCAATTTTCTGTACTTAACATAATACAACTATTTTAAATTGCACATGAACTTTATAAATACCCTGTATAAAAAGACCACTACCATTTCATAACGGGGGGGAATATGTTTTATAAATTTATGAAATAAAAACTAAACACTCTCCTAAAATGAAATGAGCTTATATATGAAAGTACTGTAAATTTAGAAGAAAAAAATATATGAGATGCTTAGTTGCTGTCCTCATAAATGGATTCTGGGGATTGACAATGATCATCATGTGTAAGAAATTCAGTTTCTAAGTTCAAAGGACAGCAGAAGGAAGTCTAGGAGAACTTAAATCAGAACCACAAAGAGAAGAAACAAATATGGTTTATCACAAAAAGTGTATTCACTACCTCAGTAGGCAGTATTAACTGCACTTTGACTTGTACTAACAGAAAAGTCACAAATGACTAGGAATTTCTTGAAAAATTTCATTTGTATTAATAATTATCAGATCAGTACTTACCAATTCCTTTCTAAGCTGAATAAAAAACTGTTTGCACTTAAAAGAAATTTTTACAATCTTCAACCTGGACAAAAGAAAATAAATTGAAGTATTTAAAGTACTGAATAAAGATAAAAATATTAAAAAATTAAGAAAAAATGCAAAATAATCCTTGAAGTATATATTTAGTAACATCTAAGCAATCTATAATATATAATATATATGTGAACACAGTACATAAAAGATCAAAAGTTGTTTGCACTTCATAGAAAAATAATTAGAATATATGTGCAACTGAGAATAATATTGTGAACTATATACATTTCCCAGTTTTTCATCTATAGAAATACCTACAATCATGTCACAAATGAAAATCTCAAGTAATCTAGGGTGTTCCAGAAATTGCCACTAAGGTTAACATACATAGGGAAAATGGGAAATTGTAGCTAAATGCACCTTTATTTACAAAATATCCATTACAAAATTTGACAAAATATTCTCTACACGTTGGCCACCTTTTTGTAAAATTTTATAATGAATTTTGACCTTTCACTGGACAGAGGTAAAATAACGCAGGGAAATTCTTCTTTTATAAAACAAGGTATCATTTCCAGAAAGTGAAAAAAGAGCTAAAATGTGGACTGTATTTATGTAAAAAAAGGAAGCCAGGTACTTCACTTGACAAAGCCTAGGGAGACATGTATGTTTCAGAAGTTATAAATAATTTCTATTAAGAGCCATCAAAGCAATAAATAAAAACAAAAAACTAATCACTTCAAAATGATCAAGAGAAAGAATCTAAACCAGATGTGAATGACCTTAATTTTATAACTCTCAGAAAAATATCAAGCAATGAATAAAAATCTTCACACTGAATATTCCCTTTGATATAAAGCTGATTTTGAAAGGCTTGTATTTTCTTTTCTTTCTTTTTTTTTTTTCAGCTGGGGCTGGGTTTGAACCCGCCACCTCGGGCATATGGGGCGGTGCCCTACCCTTTTGAGCCACAGGTGCCACTCGGCTAGTATTTTCTTACAAATGTATTCTGCATGATTTTTATTCTATACATATAGCTATAAAAGTTTTTTTCAGGAAAATACCCAAGTATGAATAAAATTTTTTGAAATAGCATCTATTTTGTAAGGTAATAATATAGCTATAATAGTTTTCTTTTGGTTTTTGTATCCTTGGGTTAATGCTTTTACTTTAAGACATTCTGTTTCTATGTATTAGACATGTTTTTTATAAATAGCATATAGACTGATTTTAGGGTCTCACTCTGTCGCCCTGGGTAGAGTGCCATAGCATCATACCTCACAGCAATCTCAAACTCATGGGCTCAAAAGATCCTCTTGCCTCAGCCTCCTACGTGACTGGGACTACAGGTGCCTGCCACAATGTCCAGCTAGTTTTTGTTTTTAGTAGAGATGGGGGTCTTGCTCTTGCTCAGGCTGGTCTAAACTCCTGAGCTCAGGCGATCCACCTGCCTCAGCCTCCCAAAGTGCTAGGATTATAGGCACGAACCACCATGCCTGGCTACAGATTGATTTTTTAACTAGTTTGAATAATCCAGAAAATACAGACAAAAAAGATCAATAAACATATAAAAAGATGATGAACATCATGAGCCAATAAGGAAATGCAAATAAAAACTACAAGGAGATAGTACCTTACATCCACCGGCATGGTTATAATAAAAAATAAAGACAGTGAGTGCTGGTGAGAATGTGGAAAAACTGAGCTTACATACACTGTTGATGGAAAAGTAAAATGATGCAGCCATCACTGAAAACAGTTTACCAAACCCACTAATTCCATACTAGGTATATGCTCAAGAGAAATGAAAACATTTTCCCACACAAAATCTTGTACATGATGTTCACAGCAGCATTATTCTTTCGTTGTTGTTGTTAAGACACAGTCTCACTCTATTGCTCCGAGTACCATGGCATCATAGCTCATGGCAACCCCAACTCTTGGGCTTGAGCAATCCTCTTGCCTCAGTCTCCCAAGTAGCTAGGACTATAGATGTGTTGCACTAATCCCGGCTAGTTTTTCTATTTTTAGTAGAGATGGGGCCTCACTCTTGCTCAGGCTGGTCTCCAACTCCCGAGCTCAAGCAATCCATCCACCTCAGCTTCCTAAAGTGCTTGAGTCACATGAATTTTTTTGTTTCTTAGTGCATGTAAAAGTTCTATTTACACTATCTTGTAGTCTATTAAGTGTACAATAGACATATCTATAAAAATAATGCACATGCCTTAATTAAAAAATACAGTAGAACCTCTGTAAGTTGACCACCAAAGGGACTATAATAAACTGGTGAACATACAGAGGTGGTCAATATAAAGACCTAGGCTAACTGTATTGATATGTACATGTGGTGCACGTCCAGTCTATAAGAATTAGCTGAACTTAAGGAGGTGGTCAGCTATAGAATCTATCTTCTAGAGCTGTTATAAGTAGAACAGATATTCTATGTTATCTTTTTAGTTCTTTTTTTAACTTATATTTTTTTTGCTTTCTTTTCTTAATCCTGTGCTCCACACAGCAGCTTGTTTTTCTGTAGTATTTATTCTCTTTTATACTTTTTCCAAAATAATTCTTTTTAAAAGAATGATCATAATGAGATATTTACTTCTTATTAAATCATAACTTTGTACATTGATTCATTTATGGGGTTCAGTGTACTGCTTTGATATACAATGTGAAATGCTTACATTGAACTAAGTAATACATTCATCACAATTATACTCATTTCTTAATAGTTTTGAAATGTACCACTGCATCATGCACATTTGGTGAGGTCCCCCAAATATCCTCCCTCCTCCCATACCCCCCCCCTCCCTTCTACTTTCTGGACTATAGTTATGTTTTGCCATTCATATGAATGTGTAGGTGATTATATATTGATTTCATAGTACATAGTACTTTGGATACTTGTTTTTCATTCTTGGGATACTTCAAGAAGAATATGTTCTAGCTTCATCCAGATAAACATAAAACATGGGAAGTCTCCATCCTTTTTCATGGCTGGATAGTATTTCATGGTGTACATATACCACAATTTGTTAATCCATTCATGGGTCGATGGGCACTTGGGCTGTTTCCAATAATTCTTATTTTCGTGTGGGCACTGGTGGCAGCTGGTAGGTTAGTTCTGTCCTCAATCCTTGATGGTGTGCACCAGTGGCAATAAGTAGGGAAGGCTCCTAGATGGCATGCTTGGGTTTTGGCAGCAGTAGTAATGGGTGGGAGAGGTATGCTCTCAGACCTGAGATAGCCCAAGGGCTGGCCAGACCTCAGGCTCCCTTTAAAGAGCATGTAGGTACACGGTGATCCTGTGGCTCAAGGGGTAGGTTGCTGTTAGTGGCAATGTCCTTAGGTAGGCAACTATCAAGCTCTGGGGAGTGCATGCTTTGACTCCCTTTGTCCTAGGGACAGCCTCCCTGGTACAGTGACCACTCCTGGAGTTAAAGACACTGTATGGGCTAGAGTACTGAGAGCGGGGCTGCACCACTGGACCCAGATGACATTGCAATTCTGTAGCCCTCTGTGTGCATCTGGGAGATTGTTAGCGATCTCAGGGATGTGGAAAGGCAGAAACTGTTGGATCCCAGGGCAGGATGTTGCTCTGGTGGGGACTGGGCTCTCAAAATGGCACTGGACTTGAGCTGACTGGGTTTTGGGGGGATGTGGGGACCAGTAGGAACTCTTTCTAACATAATGCCACAGTGTGCTCCAGGTAGGAGGAGCTCCAGGAGGAGCATTCTTCATGGGTACTCTCAGGGCCCATGAAGGCCAAGGGACTCTCTTGTGGACAGGACTGCAGAAGTCTGAGGTAAGAATGTGGCTCACTAAGGAGCTCTCATTTACCTTTTGCCCTGCAATGGAGAGGTCCTCCTGGCTCTGAGCCAGGCCTAGCCAAGTTGCTACTTGGCTTCCCTCTCTTTCCATGC